ATATATTTATTTAAGGTCTTCCAAGGAGGTACAAAACTACTGCATCTTGCAGTATCAGTCCCCTGAAGACAGTCTCAGCTTGATTGCTACTAATACTGCCCAAATAAAATTATATTTTTAAAAATATTCTAGCCTTCTTCTCATGCTGATCATTCAAAATTCACAGTGTATCTTACTGGTGGGAAAGTGAAGCAAGAAATAAGGCTCCTATTCATTTTTCCTCCATTGCCAACGGGCATTTTTCTGAGCTTGAGCTACTACAGGGAAAGAGAGGTTATTAAGAAGTGAGATGAATCCCTCTCTGCTACTATTTTCCCCCTAACAACACATTTTCAGTTGAAAACTTGAAAAATGGACTGCTAAAACACGTTCTGAATAGTTTATTCATTTTCCCTTTATTGTTGTTTATAACATTTTACACATTTCAAATGGCTTTCATTAAATAGCCATTAATGCAAAAATTCTTTTCACATCATCTTGATCAGTGTTACTGTCCTTCCATTGTGCTCAATCACTAAAATTTACTTTGCTTCCGAAACTTCAGTAAGCATTAATTACACTACAATTATACCTCAGAGCTTAATTTACTTCTATCCATCTGATTTTCAGTTCTTCCATATTTGCAGAGGAAGAAGAGGATAATAAAATGGGAGACTCACGAAGGAAATCTAATTATAGTGTAGATGCTTTGCAAGTTTCCACAAGCCTTAAGGCGCAACACACAACTCTTCAAATCTGAGCATCTCATGAATGCATCAAAATATTTTTTTGATCATACAGGAAACTGTGCTCATTTAAATTACATTCACAAATGGATTTAAAAGCAATGGCCTATGGATACTTCTGAATAGTTTTGTTCTTCCTCAGGAAAAGTTTTGCAAGTAAAGTTTATAATAAGCTTATGTGCCATGTTCTCCTAAAAAAATATATTTTGGAGATGTTTTGATTTTAAGACATTCACTTTTTTTTTGCCAGAGACCGCTAATCTTCAAGATTATACTATGGAAACCATAAGAAAGGAATTCTCAATTGAATATGACCTATAATAGTACAAGCTTTATGAAAACACTGCTTTTTCTACTTTTTCTATATCCACTCATTATCTAAATCAAAACCTGAACCCACCTGTAGATAAAAAAACCCCGATCAAATAATATCTGCACTTATAGCCTTCTGTAAATTATTTGTTATTGAAGTCACCATTTCAAAGCAAATGTAGAGACTTCAGGTATTAACACACATTCAGCTTGAGGGGACTTTATGATTACATGTACACAACTGAGTATCAGACTACTATATTTGATTTATACAGAATAAAAATGCATTTGTCTCTAGTGGTCTGCTACTCTTAATAACTTTAATAGATTTAGCATGTTTCAAAACTTGATTTAAAGGGAAAAAAAAAAAACAAAAACAAAAACAACTGCCACACACACCAGGAAACTGCACCAGTTTTCAGCTGCAGTAGGAAAGAAAAGGAATTAAGAAGAGCAAATGTGAATCAAGATATATTTGAAACTTGATGTACGTGAAGGAAGAGAAGAAAGTTAAGTTGATGAAAATGTTAACCAAAAGCAGAAAGGAAAGATTCAGCCATGGCTTTTTCAAAAAGCTAGGAGAAAAGAGAGTTGTAGGAGCATTCAGCAGCCAAGGCAGGAAACCGAGTTGTCACATCTGATATTGGAACATGTCAAATGGACAAAGATCTTCAGCAGTCTGCTTGCAGGAAGGAAATTTAAAGAAAGATGGGAATTAAATAATTAGCATTACTGCAGAAAGGACAGGTCAGATAACAGAGTTCATGCTACAACATGATGTATTTTGACTCACAGTGAAGCATAGAGGATTTTAAAAAGAAGCAATGACAGACAGCCACAAGTATTGCATTTAGGACTTTATGAAGGGTTCTGCTGAATGCCAGCAAAGGGATATATAAGATGGGATTAAAGTATGTGACTTTAAAAAGCTCCTCTTTCAATGACACAAGAAAGGGCACTAAGACATTCACTTACACAAAACCCAAAGTCATGAAAATAAAGTCTCCTAGTCTTTTTACTTCTCTCACATCCTTTACTGATAACACACTTGAATACTCATCTTTTAGGTTTCATCCTCTCCTTCCAAACAAGGGTAAGAAATAACTCAGATGACTTGCTTGTCAAGCTTACATAAACAACCAAACTTTTAATAGCAAATTCAGACAATGATCTGGCACATGATCAGGCTTCTTCAGCATAGTCATGATACATGGACTTTATGTATAGTTCTTTTGTATCCCTGAGATGTAAGCCAAAGATTCAAACTCAACTAGTATCTGCTCCTGAGTGATTATCTTTTGGTAAGGGAAACCTTATGAGGTGGGAGAATTTTTAAATACCATTGGGAAGTCACTGTGAAAATGGCCACGTAACTCACTTTTACTGTGAGGCAGTTCAGATTTTCCCCTGGCATTCTTTTGTTAATGAAGGACAGATGACTTGTCCCATCAACAACACAATAAATTCCAAAAACATCACTGAAAAAACAATGGCTGAAATGGCTAAAATGATGTTTATTTATGACACTTACCTATGATTTCTGAATTATGCCATAAAACTTCCCCCTACAGTGTGAATTTTAAAAATTAGACATTTTCTGGTAATGAAAAAATTGAGTAGTATCTTCTCTACCTAGTAACTATGTAGTTTCTTCATTAATTACTGGAAGAAGGCATCTCCTGATCACAGGACCAGCTTAAGATGACCCAAAGGGAAGGAGGTATGCCTGTCTCTCCTTGGATGAGACAAAAGAGCAAGACTCAGCATATTTTCCCTATAATTACTACTACAGCTGTTTCTTAAGCAGCAACAGTTGACTGTCAGGAATCCCAAACATAAATGGATGACTTAGTAATAAGGAAGCGCAAGAGAATCAATCTGTATGTCAGCCTTACCTTATACAGCCTGAATTAATTAATACATGAAATGAATTGTTATTCTGAATGCCTTCTGTAGTGAGGAGAGAGATTCATCCTTAACCACAAAGGTTAGTGAAACAATGGGAAAGCAAATGAGGTTTTACCAGAGTAAAACCTATCACCTTCCTGCCCCTTCTTTCTTTGCAAGTGTCATCTCATTTAAATTTGGATGTTACAATTCTAAACTGTTATAACACTATTTCAAAAATTAAATTACAACCAGGTAACTGAATACTTCATTATGTACAGAGAATTTACATATGAAGTATTTTTCACCTCAAACTGTAAAGTTTCAAATAAAAAATCTGAACAATGTCAGATGTGTGTCAGTCATGCAATGACTGAATGGCAGCTCTTAATACCAGACAATCATTTCACAGGATGTCAAACAGAGGTCCTTTTTCTTTAACCTATTTCCTTCTTTTTCATATACTATCATTTATTTATTTTATGTAATTTCATAAAGGATAATAGCTGGAGTGTGAAAAACAGTCATGCACTAATCTCCAAGAAGCTTCACACATTACACTTTGCATAATTACAAAATAACCCCATGACATTGACGTGGCCAGTCATAATTTTTTCTAACTCTATTTTCAAAAGAGGCATTCTCTTTTCATAGTATCTCCACAGTTGAAATATTTTTCTTCAATGTAGGTAAATATGTGGTCAACGTCATTTGTTCTCCTCAGAACTGTAACAATGAAGCTGTGTTAACAGACCAACAGATGAAGTATTTTATCACTGAAGTCTGACGTCAACACCTACAACGGTGTTACTCAAAGTGTATGAATCTGCTACTGAAAAAGAGATTGACTGCAAAGTCATAGAATCAGTCTCTCCTTCCCTGTTCATTAAGTGCATCTTTGAAATCTGATTGCATTGTTTTCTGTAAACTTGACTATTATTTCACTTAGAGCACAGCAAACATGATTTCTTTTCTCCTCCTATCAATTGGAACCCTTTCCTAAAAAAAATGTGAGATTTTTTTGTGTTTGCCAAATGACTGCAACAGGACTAGAGGAGCAGACTTTCAAATTAAATGTGCGAAGCATGCTTTGACATTAACCAGGATACTTCATAGCCGAAATAAAACTTGAAGCTTTCACAAATTCCTTCCAAATTATTTTGTTCAAATTCAAACTCTCACAAACACTGGAAAATCTTGCCCTAACTACTTACAATCAGTGGAAAGTCAAACTGAATTAACAGTATTTACAGAGCAGGACAATAAAACGCTTATTAACACCTTGGAAATTTGAAGCTTTGAGTACAAACCAGGCCTTTAACAACACATAGTCCTGGGACCTTACATGTATCCATTATCTGGAGAATGCCATACCCATCTCACAATCACTAACAGAATGACCTCTGAGCTAAAAGACATACAGCTGTGTTCTATATGACAGATACACAGCATGGTCAGAAAATCCTGCCTTGGTCCATAACAAATAATAGAGAAGTAGATGGAAAACTTCTGGTCTGCAACTTTTAAAGGTTTTCAAACACCAGAGAGAAGCCAGACTGCAGATACTGATCTTTTCAAGTCACAGCCAAAAGTCACTTCATGTTGTTTGAGTAATTCATTACGTAAATTCTGATAGCCCTAAGCACACTGACAACAAAATTTAGCACTTTGGCCTAAATGAAATGTGACACTAAATGTGAAGCAAATGGTAGTCTGAAGACATTTCAGAGTTATTCTCACTGACAGAAGGTTTTAGAGCACATATGCCTAACACTACTTTCTTTTGGTTAAACAAATCCTTTCACTGAACACTGATTAAAAAATAAAAGAAGATACTCCTACTAAATTCACCAAACTTTAAAGCTGTAAATAAAACTCTACAGTTACCAACACTTAATGATGAATAAGGCTTTGTGCTATCCAGCTACTTATATTAAAACAGTTTTCTTGTGAACAGTGTAGTCCTGAAGAAAACTGACGAACTTATTTCACAATGGATTTAAGTATTTTTCCTCACTGAGCAATCCACAGCACAGTATTTCTATACTTCAGTAATTGAAGCAGAAATCAACTTACCCTATGTTTTTCCTTTACTTTCTTCCTGTATTCTTCTTTGTCAAATTTGTCTTCCTCACGCAGGATTTCTTTCGCTTTATCTAGGTTGATACCACTGGCATCATCTTCCTCGTCTGCTTGCGCCAAATTGGATTTTTGTACAGGTGGCCACTGCTGCACTAACTGAATTAGAGATGCCAGCAAGAAAAATAAGGGTTAGAGTAATTTTTTCCACATCACACATTTGGTGCCCTACATATTCCAATACATTCTTTTTCCACACTAAATAAAAAAGTCATCTGCAAAGGAAACACATTAACAAACCTTATTTAACATCATATTCAGTTTAAAATTACTATTTTACAGTAGTGTCTCCATTATATCACATTACTGTTTAGTGAACGCACTTGAATCTCTTCCCTTATTTTGTCCTCTTTCCAGATTAGAACAAGTAATTTCTAATCCAGCTATTCATCTGGGGAGAAAAACTACTTCTCTCAAGAAATTACTCTCAGAAAAAAATGTGAGTAAATCTAAACAGTACCTTTCATGTAAACAATCAACATTCCAACATATTAACCAAGACAAAAATTACACAAGTCTTTATTCCAGAGTATGCCAGAAAAAAAAAAAGCATTATTACAGGTTCATGTTTTGAGGGAAGCAAGGAGAAAAGACATGGAAGGGTTTTTTTCATTGTTGCACTAAGACTGTATTGGAAATGTTTGGTGATTCATGCTGGTGAAATGTTTGATGGATGACACACTGAACACATCCAGCTTCCCTTAAGTACCTGAAACTCTGAATTCAAGACAAAGACTGCATGTTCAAAAAATATCCCCATCTATCTTATGACCTAGTAGCTTGTACCTCATGGTATGAGCACACACCTTCAAGGGAAAGTCTTTGCAAAATCATTCTTGCTCATAGATTGGTAAAGTACTAACTCTTGAAAGGAAAGTACATGGCAGAAAACATAGAATGCCTTTCAGTGCAAATGCAAAATCAAACACATTTAGGACTCCCTAATGCACACAAGCTGTTTTTTTAACTGGTACAGATAAATCCAACCCACTGTTTCATATCCTTTTGTAAAATTGAGTTTGTGTCGTTGTATTTTCTAGAAAGATACATTTTTAGAGGACTTTATCAAAGAAAAGCATGTGGAATAGAACAGTAAAATTTCAATGCACAATTTTACACAGCTCGGGGGGAAAAAAAATAAGAACATCCCGGGATGCAAATTTTGTGTTTCCTTAAATGTCACCCCTTTTCTATTTTGTATTGCTTTTCAAATTACAATCTTTATGATTGTTTTTGTCTTCGTTCTTCCTCCTTTTTGCTTCATTGTATAGATACCTAAAACATCTGCATATGAATTTTAAGTTGAGACAACAGCTTCTGAATATCTAAAAATATCTGACACTGTAGTTTTTGGTCAATGGGGCAACTTCTGAAACCTTTTACATTTTGTCTAATGTTAGTAATTATGTATATGGCTACACTCCCTTCACCTGCAATATAAAATGCCTTTTTTTTTTGGTCAGGAAAAAAAGCAAATTATATACTTGTAAAAGTGACCTCTCTTTCAGTTTATGCCTTACTGAAATAATTATAAAGAGGGGAAAAAAACCACTCTACTTTTTATCTTAATGCTGGAAATGGAAAAACAACATGCATAACATCTGAAGCTGTAAAATCAAATTATAGAAAAGTTCATGGAATGAAGACACTTGCTAGTGAGATTATTTCCACAGGGAAACCCTAGAGTGACTAGCATCCAGAATAGTTTCTTTTAGTATAAAGTCAATAAATTTTTCTATTGTTCTATTAAAAGAACAAATCAGATAACTGGCAAATCTCCAAGCACTGCTACCTCAGCACCAGCAGGCCGAAATTTGGTACTTCCTTAGCTTTTCTAACAAAACTTTTAATCTACAAATAGTGAATGCTGGGAAGAAAACCAGGGTCTTCTTTTAATTCCAGTACATTAGCCCAAGACTTTGGGGTGCTTTGCGAAACAGCTACAGGAAAACTGTTTTACAATTCTGTAAGAACAAAAACCATGCTCTCAATTCCACCTGAAATTGAAAACAATAGACAGAAAAGAGATACAGTTCTGTACATCCACTTACAGCTCTCATACAAGTATCTTACACATACAAAGATGAAAAGAGGTCAGTGCTCAACATTTCTCTTTTTCTCACTGGAACTGATTCTAAATGGAAGCTGAACTCTTTTGTAAAATGTAAGCCAATTACAAATACTACACATTTTTTAGAAGTGTGTCTTTTTATACAAAGTACATTTTGACTTTATAGAAACTACAACTTCAATTCCCACCATAATACAATTACTTTTAAGTGATCTTACCTCTCCATCTTCAGTAAAAACTATTTTTGTGTTAACTTTAAATTTCTTCTTCAAGATTTTTTTGGCTTCTTGGGTCTTAGTTGCTTTCTTCTTCATCTTTAATTTTGATGTGGTCTGCATAAAAGAAAGTAAGTTTTCTTATGAATTTTTTACTAGTCATAGAGTATATACTCCAAACTTTTTTAAAAGTAATTAGATGTATTAAAATTCAATTCCTAAAACATGAGTAAGATTAATTTCCAGTAAAAATCAGCCAGCAAACCTTTTCATAAAAGCATTTTAAGCAGGCTGTATCATCAGAAATTCATTTACTCTAATAAAAATTTCACATAATTTAAATCCTGCCAGCACCAGGACACCTGGCTCATTCAAATCTCACTAACCTTTTAAAGACAAGGACACTAGATGCACCAGCTTATGCTGCTAGCAAGCCTCATCAGACAAGAAATATAGTGTAACTGACTTGAAGCCAGTAACTACAACTGATCAGATACCAATTTCCTCTCACTTGTCATCACATTGTCCCAGGCACCGCAGTAAACCAGTCTGAGCTGTGTGTCAATGAATACCACAAATGACCATGCAAGAATACTCCTACTTCATAACTTTTGTCTCTTGCAGAACATCCAGGAGGTGTTTACCAAACTTAGAATTAAATAACATATAAATATCACAGAAGTTACCAGTATCATAAAAGAAAGTAGTGGAAAAAAAGTGGTGAAGACTCCAGAGCAACTAATGAATGAATCCACAGAAATGGTGAAATCCACAGATGGCCTATATATGTTTCCCCAAGGCACTCATCTAGTGCCAATATCATGGAACTAAAGAATGTGGAGATTCACCACTCCCAAATCTTCTTCCAAGAAATGTCCTTTAGAACAAAGGCTGAATGTGTTCCAGCATTTACCAGAACAAATACACAGAGGACATTTTAAGCAGTAACTGATATTACAAAACTATTTTATAGCAAAAATATTCTGAAGGAATACATGGAGACTCCACAGGAGAAGGCCCATGTCATTCATCATCCTATAGACTGCAATCTCTCCACTACTCAGAAAAAAGTGCCTGAAAAACAGTCACTAAACTGTCTCAACTTCTAATAAATAACAGAAAGCAGTAAAAGCAACAAGAAAGGAAAAACTGAACTTTTTCCACTTTCATTTTTTATTTTGGTCATTTTAATCTGTTCCAATGTTCTATATAAAATCCACTGTAAAAGGAAGCAAAAACAACATTTAACTCAGAAAGTCACTGTCATTATGGTCAGCACACTAATGCACTGAAATATGAACTATAAAAGAGAAAAATTACAGTCCTTCTAACAGGAAAAATGGCTTGTGACAGCTACTGCGCTGTGATATCAAGTAATGACCATATCTATTATACAAAATAGTATGAGTAGCAGCACTTTTATCCTCAGTACTGTCAAATGATTTTTGCTGCACTGTGCAGCTACCACAGGCTAGGTACATCTGTAACAGCTAAAATAGCTGTGCTACTCCCTCATTACTGCTGCTTACCCTACAAACAAACTGCTTCACCATCTGCATTAACATAAAACCCTTACCTCAAAATACAGACTACTTAGTAGAACAGCAGGAGCTGTCCAGAGGAAGAATTAAAAGCAAGATGTACTTCAAGGTGGTGGGACAATGCTATTCACTACCACAGCATTTTCTTTCAGCAGCTGCTTTTGGCTTTCTTTTTTTAATAAGTAGTCCTTTATTTCTGCACTGCCAGTATTATTGGTACCAGTGTAATATGTTACTATAAAAAAAAAAAAAATTACCGTAAGATTGAAATTGGTACACCAGTATTTTGCAAAATTGTATTTAACTGTGAATTTCAGCTGTTTACATTTCTTAAAATGGGTTTTCCCAGCTAAGGAGCACAAATATCCAATGAGGTCTCTTTACATGCACACATAGGCAACATTTCCAGTTGTACCTTGTTCCCCCACTCTTTCCTCTGAGTTTGATACTGTCAAGTTTCATGGGAAAAAAATGGTATAGTCCAAAATTTCCAAACAAATAGAAGGAACAAAAGGAGGAGAAGAAAAAAATGGGAAGCTAAATTCCCTCACCACAGACTCAAAAAGGATAGTGTAGGATCAGTGGGTGAATCTGGTAGATTTAGAATATTCCTTGTGTAGCATTACATAAAGGGATCAAAATTTTTAAAAACTTACAGGAAAAAAACATGAGTATAAAATACTATATACCCTCTAGGTAATTAAACTGTGGTTTTTATTAGGACACTGCATTGGGTTTGCATAGCCAGCTTTTGGTACCAGGGGGGCTACAAGGGTGGCTTCCATGAGAAGCTGCCAGAAGCTTTCCCCATGTCCAGCAGGGTCAGAGGCAGCTGGCTCCAAGATGAATGTGCTGCCGGCCAAGGGATCAGAAGGGATGGCAAAGCCTCTGTGATAACATATTAAAGAAAAGGGAAAAAAGTTATTGCACAGCTGTAACTGCGGCCAGAGAAGAGCGCAGAGAGAACACGTGAGAGGAGCAGCCCTGCAGACACCAAGGTCAGTGCAGAAGGAGGGGCTGGAGGTGCTCCAGGCATCGAGCTGAGATTCCTCTGCAGCCCATGGCACAGACCATGGGGAGGCAGCTGTGCCCCTGCAGCCCTTGGAGGACCAGGGGATGCAGAAATCCACCTGGAGCCCATGGAGGAGATCCACACCAGAGCAGGTGGATGCCTGACAGAGGGCTGTGACCCCATGGGAGGCCTGTGCTGGAACAGGCTCCTGGCAGGGACCTGCAGACTTGTGGAGAGAGGAGCCCATGCTGGAGCAGGTTTCCTGGTAGGACTTGTGACCCATGCTGGAGCAGCCTGTCCTTGAAGGACTGACACACATTGCAGCAGTGTGCAGAGAACTGCTGCCCATGGGATGGATTCACATCGGACAAGCTCATGGAGACCTGTGTCCCATGGGAGGAACCTCACACAGGAGTGAGGGAAGGACTCCTTTCCCTAAGCAGTGGCAGGAACAACATGTGATGAACTGATCACAGTCCCCATTCCCTCTCTCTGTGCCACTGGGGAGGAGGAGGTAGAGCTGAGAAGGAGGGGTGCAGGGAAGGTGTTTTAAAGGTCTGATTTTACTACTCATTATCCTGCTCTGATTTTGTTAACAATAACTTTAAATAATATCTCTAATTTAAGTCTGTTTTGCCTGTGATGATATTTGTTGGGCGATCTCTCCTGGTCCTTATCTCAATGCATGAATTGTTATATTTACTCTTCCCTGTCCAGCTGTAGAAGGGTGTGACAGAGGTTTCGGTGGGTGCCAGGAATCCAGTCAGGGTCAGCCCAGTACACTGGTAGTTTAGCTTTCTGAGCACACTTCAAATTTGATGGCTATCAAGGTTCCTTCAGCTTCAGAGACACTCCCCTGACTGACTCATAGTTTAAGACCAGACAGGCTCAGATATCAAAACATTTTAGTCACAGATGTAGGCACAATTTTCCAAACTACATGACTTCAGTATTCAGCAGTAGAAGAAGGGACCTTTGGTGTGTTAAGAGCAGTGGTTTCTGACATAGCTTCCCTTTTCCAAGGGGCAGGCTACATAGTCCAGGGTAAGAGTCAGGCAGATCAGCCATGGAGTGTATAGAGTCCTGGGGCTATCGTGGGATCTCACACATGCTGCTTTGGTTCCCTTCTGGGGATCTCTCTCACGTTCTCCTGGAGTCCCTACATAATCCTGAAGTGTCTCTCTTCTGTCACTTAACCCTCTCCCTCATGTATCTCCAGTAGCATCTTTCAGAGGATCTACTCCCCACATTCCAAGAGTCTCTTGCCCTACTTCCTGCCTCAGTGGTTGCTGCTTTACATTAAATATACCTATGCTAGATGTTTCTCCAAGTGGTTTAAGTCTTGATGCAGGATGGGTTGTTTAAATCCATCTGAGTTCATGGCCTCCTCAACGATCCATGACACCCTGTGGCCCCCTCACCCAAATTTCTAATGCCGCTGCCTATCTTTGCTTTGACTTCACATTTGAGCAGCTACATTGAAACATCAATTTTCCATCTAGCAGGAGTCTGATTCATCTATTTTAAAACTGAAACACCCCTGGGCCTCAGACTTTCCCAATATTCAGTGCTAACCCGTGGTTCTATGTGTTTTCAAGCCACTCTGCTTACTAATTTCCCATTTTCATCTTTCACACTACGAGATACCTGAGCACGGACCAGCAGCAGGCTGACATTCTCTATGGCTTCTCCTCTTTTCTTCACTAAGAGCTCACCACAGTAGCAGGCACCACCAACTGCTGCAAGGCTGCCAGAAGATTCCTGCCATCTGTTAACCTTAAGTTCTCTAGAGAAAACAAAGGTAGCAGGAGTCCTGACTCCTCTCTGCCCAGTGAACAGCTGGAATCTGGGGTCACAGGCTTTGCAGGCAGAAGTATCATCACATCAGCAGATGAAAGTGAATGGAAGGTTTCTGCTGACAACTTAGACCCTGCTTCTAGTGCCAGAGCAAGCCATGGGCCTGAGCATTTTAAAGTGAGCTGAGAGGGCACAGCTGCTGTCCACAGTGATCAGCTCATTGCAGGTCCTGCTCAACTACTATTTACCTCAGTAAATCCCTTTCTAAATTTGAATTATTCTCTCAGATCCAAACAAAACAGCATGGGTGATCTGGGCACAGGTTTTCATGTTGCTGTTAAAATACCAAAGGAATTCTGCATTTGAACTCAAGTTGTTAACAGCATTTTAAGCACCAGCTGGTGCACACACCCCTCTCTGTCAATGAGAAGAGGCTACCTGCAGCTCACCAGCAGGTACATTTTGCCCTATGCCCAATACAACAGGACTTCAAATCTCATCTTTTCTTCTATAAAGATGTGGCAACAGTTAAACTGATCAAAAAAAAACAGGGCAATAATTAGCCTCTTCAAAATGATACATAACACTTAAACATATTAAGAGTCACTCAAGTTTATAAAAAAAATCCATAAAATGTAGGATCAGCTCCAGAATTGGGGGGTTTTCTACAGTTGCTAGTCTAAAGCTGAAATTTCTTTTTCCTTTTGTACATGACAGATGGCTTGCTGGATTATTTAATGAGTAACAATAAAACCAAGCTCTTACAG